CCTTAGACACAGACACCTAAACATTATTAATCTTAAATATAAAGTACATATAATATCAAGTTACTTTAGTTATCTGGTCATGTTAAGTAAACACGAGTGTCATCAATTTAAGTAAGTCACACAGTGTATTCATATTTTACCCCTTAGACACAGACACCTAAACATTATTAATCTTAAATATAAAGTACATATAATATCAAGTTACTTTAATTATCTGGTCACGTTAAGTAAACACGAGTGTCATCAATTTAAGTAAGTCACTCAGTGTATTCATATTTTACCCCTTAAACACAGACACCTAAACATTATTAATCTTAAATATAAAGTACATATAATATCAACTTACTTTAGTTATCTAGTCACGTTTATTAAATATTAGTCTAATCAAAGACACATAAACTTTATTAATTTTAAATATAAAGTACATATAATATCAACTTACTTTAGTTATCTGGTCACGTTTATTAAATACGAGTCTCATCAATTTAAGTAAGTGACACAGTGTATTCATATTTTACCTTTGAGTTACAGACACCTAAACTTTATTAATCATAAATATAAGGTACATATAATATCTACTAACTTTATTTATCTAGTCACGTTTATTAAATATTAGTCTGATGAAAGACACCTAAACTTTATTAATCTTAAATATAAAGTAGATTTAATTAAATTTTTATTTGTTAATTTAATCATTAATAATGACAAGTAGTTAAATTAAAATATGCGGCTTCAATAATGTAAAGGAATCAACCTGATCCACTTAAATCCACTTAAAATAAATAAAAATATTAAAAATAAATAAAAAGGTTACATAATTAAAATAAACAGTTGTACTCCAGCAGACGTGGGAGCCAGGGGAACGCAACTTCTAGTATAGATATAACTCTTTGTATATGTCATTTTTCGTATAAATATCCCCAAAAGTCATTTGTTAGTCATCATTGTTTCATTGCACAACAAATATTGTACAATCATTATCTACAGTAAACATCACCATCAAAAATGGCACTTCCAGTGGAGTTAGTAATTGAGAGTTTTTTGCGGGCACCCGTCAAATCAATTTGCAGAGAAAAAGCAGTGCGTAAACTTTGGTTAGGTTTGTTTGCCGAAACTCTCTTCACAAAAAAGGCACTACGCAGAATCCAAAATCGTCAAAAAAGTTATGTTTTTTTCATGTTTCGTAAATGAAATACTATCCGTAGACGTAAGCAAGCCTCTTGTTGGTGTAGACGCAAGTTGCATTCTTCAGAACCCAATGCACTACTCCAATGCGTACATGAAAATTATTGGTACATGTAGGGGCATGATTCTTTTTTGGGTTCCTACATCCTTATTCATTTGGAATCACTCTATCGGGTTTACTCGTTCTTTTTGTCCATATCCACCTACTATACTGAGAATCTGTGGGGATTTTTTTGGCCTCAACTTCTATGGATTTGGTTATGCCGATCTGAAGACAATTATGTTGTGGTTCAAATTTATCTTAGTAAATGTGATCCATCTCATCGCGCATTCATCTATTCTGTCAATGGTGGTTCATGGAGGGATTTTGAATATGACTCCCTTATGACAATTACACAACCTTCTATTTCTGTTCATCAGGGATGTATTGGACTCTATTTTGGCGATTCTCTTCATTGGATTAGTTTCAACTGGCAAACAAATGTTGATGTCATACAAATAAAGCACAAACCTAATTTGGAAGATGAAGATGATAAAAATGAAGCAAACACAGTATTAGAAAGAAAATGACGGACGAAATGTCGTATGTGGAAGGGAGGGGACACAGTGAAGATACCATCTTTGATGGAGCTTTTGGTAGGGAGAGTAGGTTTTGGAGCACTAGAGACCAGAGAATGGGAGGTGATCGGAAACAAAAAATAACAAAAAATCAGAGGTGCTTGCAAGAAGATGCGACAGAGAGAAGAGGAAAAATGAAAATGAAAAGGGTAGGAACGGAGGGTACACGGGAAAGTTACTGTCTTTAATGGAACTTTTGGTAGGGAGAGCACCGGAGACAGAGATGCGCCAGAGAGAAGATTGAAAAATGAAAATGAAAGGGTAGGGAAATGAAGAAGATAAAACATATTTAAATAGGCTGGGGACTATTATTTAAAATGATATAATTAATGAGGGTTAAATAGCAAATATTAAAACATTCTTAAAAAATATAAGTTCTGACAAAATTAACACATGTCATCATTTATGTGGTCCTAGTCACAGAGGGCTTTGGTACCCCCTAAACAAAACTTGCACCAAAGAAAATGCCCTTTATTTTTGCATGCTCAACCATACGTGTAGTAGTATGAGCATGGCTTTAGTTTGTTAGTGCTTGGGATCAGTAGTAGGTCTTATAAATGTATCAATCACTCAATTTGATATCATTTGCTCATTATTTGTAATGGTAGGGTTTACTATGTAATGCAAATTGCAAAATAAATGAAACTTGGTTTTTTGGAATACAATTTGTATTTCTTCATGAATGTTGGAGTTTTATTAAATTGTTTAATTTGTACAAGCTTACACAAAACTATTTGAATTTATTAAAGTAATTCATATAATAAAATTTTGTTAAATAGGAATTAACTAAGTTATTTATTCAAAAGCAATCTTGATTCTCTTCGTCCTTAGTGCCACTCGAAGAAAACTCAGAAACTACTTGTGTTATATAGGTTATATAGTTGTAAGCAGTGATTTAAAACTCGCATCAAACCGGCCGGGTTGGACCGGGCACCGGTGGTCTAGCCGGTCCGAATCTTAAATTGGATCGGTTATGCAGTCGACCCGTTTCAAACCGGATTGAACCGGTCAATTTTTTGGTTCAACCGGTGAACCGGTGGGTCAAACCGGTTCAACCACTTTTTTTTTCTTATTTAAAAAAAAAAAATTAAGGGACCATAAACCATAAAAATAATAATGAAAATTGAATCTCTTAATGGAAGAGCAAAGAGTCTTATTAAATATAACAATGACTACTTGTTCTGATGTATTTGTTTGTAAAATATACAACTTAAATAACTTTTATAGTATATTATTAATTTTAAATTATGTATTTAATAATATAATATCTATGTAGATATTACATATATTATTTTGTGATATCAATTGCAAGCATATTATATATGTACATATTATTTATATTTTTAATTTGTATTAATATACAGTTTAACATGAATTTTTTTATGTATTTTTTTACAAAATAAAAATAAAAATAATTTTAAATAAGATAGAAAAATTGAAATTTAAAATAAGATATGAATTTATTAAAATTTATAAGTATAAAATATATTTAATATGAATATTTTTTTAATAAAAATAAATAAAAATCGAGTTATGCGGTTCAACTAGTGACCCACCGGTTCAACCTTTGACTCACTGACCCAGTACCTTAACCGGTTCAATGACCGGTCCGGATTTTAAAACTATGGTTGTAAGTGCATAGTTTCGCGTTAGATTATCAAAGAGTGGTTATATAAGTTATCAAAGATAAAAATAATTGATGAAGATCTTCCTCTCAATAAAAACATTACACACAAGATATACCCTATCTGTTTGTTTGTTTGATGAAAATAATTTTAAAATTTTGTCAAATATATATAGGAATAGTATGTGATAATATATTGAGTGTAAATATCATCTATTTTTGTGAGATGACTGATACGCTCAAGTGTGAGGATCGTGGGTGTGAATTTGTGTAATGGAGTTAATGTTAATGTTAATTAATTGCTCGCATTACTTTTTTTTTCTTTTTATTATTTGTCATTGTTCTTTCTACTTGTATTTTGTCTGTGTGTGCAAAAAAATCTAAATTAATCTAAATTGATCTATAACCAATTTGATTTATATTAAAAAATTTGATTCATTTAAAAAAAAAAATTGTACTAAACCGATCGTTTCAATTAGATCCTTAAGCTAAAAAAAATTGTATAATTAGATCTTCATCTTTTATATTTTTATAATTTAGGTTAGAAATTTGTTATAATTTATGAAATTTTACAAAATATTCGCTACATATAAATAGAGGATGACACAAAATAATAATTTAGATATTATTATTGTCCATATGTGATCTAATTACAAATTCCTTTAGTTTAGGACCGTATTAATTGAAATTTTTTCAAATTTAGACTTAAATTTATCAGGTTGTTGTTGTTGTTTTTTTTTTTTTTTTTTTTT